GGGTTTTGAGCATGGGAGTTACATGATCTGATTTATGTTTTAAAAGGTTCATCCTACCTGCTGCGTAAAAAATAGACTGTAAGGGGGCAGGCATGAGAGTGAAAGCAAGAAGGCAATTAAGTAAGAGGAGAGCTTGATAGTCAAGGTGAGAGATGATAGTGAATTTAACTAGAGTCATACTGCTGGAGGTGTTGTGAGAAGTGATCAGATTTGGATGTATTTTGAAAGTAAAGGTGATAGTATTTGCTGATGGACTAGACAAAGGATGTGAGAAGAAGAGAGAGGAAGAGAGGGCTTCAAGGATATTTGATCCAAGAAAATAGGTGGATGGAATTTCCATTTAGTGAGATGAGGAAGACTGCATGTTGAGGAAGGGGCTGAAATCAAGAATTTTGTTTCGATTTAATTAATTCTTATTTTTATTGAGGTGTAGTCTATTTACAATGTTAGTTTCAGGTGTACAGCAAAGCAATTCAGTTATACATATACATACATACATATATATTTTTCAGATTCTTTTCCATTCCAGCTCATTACAAGAAATTGAATATAGTTCCCTGTGCTATACAGTAGGTCCTTGTTATCTATTTTATATACAGTAAAGTGTATCTATTAATCTCAAACTCCTAATTTATTCCTCCCTCTGCCTTTCCCCAGCTAGTAACCACAGTTTGTTTCTTATGTCCATGAGTCTATTTCTACCAGTGTGGATAATGATAGCTTGAACCAGGACGGTGAATATAAGTATCCATATGTGCTAATGGCTGCTGTTTTGGACAGCACAGATTATAGCCTATTTCCATCATTGCAGAAAGTTCTGTTGGACAGCACTGGTCTAGGAATATATAATATGATTGTCAGGCAGCATTAAGGGCCCACTTAAGATTAGTGATCATGAATTTAAAATGAAGCCAGTAGCGTGTGGTTGCATGTTTTCCTCCAGCCACATTCAACTGTCTGGATCTAGGGACAGAGTTAGATTTAACCTGGGTCAGTTTTTGCCAAATAGGTATATCAAGGTGAGAGGAGGAAAGAGACTTGAGGGTATATGGAATGGAGTGGTTTATAATGATTGACCAGGGACTGTAAGCTGGGTAAGGTGGAAAGTCAGAGGCTGAGGGACAGGGAGCAGTTGGTAAGAGCAATAGATTGGAGGTTCGAGTTGGGGTGAAGGAAAATTGGAGTCAGATACAATATATATGCAAACATACCAAAAAATTTCTGTAAGAATTCACACAAAAATTATCACCAGTTACTACCTATGAGGAGGAAGGGAAGGAAGAAAGGGAGGCACTGAGGAAAGCAGGGCAGGCCCGGGCAGGGCAGGGCAGGGGAACTTTTAAGTGCTGTGATTTAGAGAGCAGAGTTGTGAATACTTGGGTTCAGATCCAAAGTCTGGTACTTCATAGCTTGGTAATCTTGGGCAAGTTATTTCACCTCCTTTTCCCTCAGTTTCTTCATCTACAAAATGGAAATAATAATAATATCTGCTTCATAAAGTCACTCTGAGAATTAAATGACTTAGTACATGAAAGCACTTGCAACAGTGCCCGGCATAGAGTATGTAGTCAGTGGACGCTGGCTATGATTACTGTCATTATACTTCCATGTTGCTTGAATGTTATACGATGTGGGCATATTCATGTATTTCCTTTGAAAAAGCTGAGAGGAAGAAGCCAGTGGAGAGGGAGATGTTGAGGATATAGGAGAGTTTCAGGTGTTTTGTTTTGTTTTGTTTTGTTTTGTTTTTACCTGAGGGTGAAGGAGCAATTGTCTGGAAGTTGCAGTGTGGCCAGAAGGGGATGCCCACGTCACCTCCTGACTTCTGCAGTACATGCAGTGTCTTGGTGTAAATCACTTTCAGTTGAAAGGGCTGCAAGGGAAGCTCTATCCTCAGGGGAAAGTCAGGAATACCAGTGGACATTCAGGGGTGGGTTGGAGGACGATAGGAGAGTTTGTGAATCATGCAGTGGTGTTCCAGGGATGCATAACAGAAGCACCTGGAAGTTAAGGTAGAAATGAGAGGTCAGGTGGGGGGAGAAGAAGCACAGAGGAATATGGGGATGAGGTTAGAGGAGAGCAATCACAGTAGCGATATAATAGTAGCAATATAATAATAACAATAATAATAATTTAACAATGCATCATATGGATCATCTCTTGTAATCCTCATAACAACCTCATAAAGTAGAGCCTTTATTCTACAGTTGAGAAGACAGGCAGAAGAGATTAAGTGACTTGCCCAAGGTCACACAGCGAGTGAATCGAACCAGGTGCTTACATATTGGGTGATGACAAAGGAAAACGGGGACATGAGTGAGGCCCGGTTTGGCAAGTTTGGCAAGATGGTTAGCCCTGACAGGCTTCTGATAAATAGGAGGCTCTCAGATCTCTCCGGTTTCAGGTGGATTTGAGACTGGAGGTGGGAGCTGCTGCTTTGTTGGTGTTCCTTATATCGCTCCATGTGGAAGGATCCAGGCAGTGGCTGGGCCAAGATGTTCTCTCACCTGTGCTCTGCAGAGTGATTGGTGGTGGGGGTAGTGGTGTGATTATTAGGTATGCCTTGCCTTTGTGGGTAATATAAAGCCAGGCTGCAGGTGTAAGGTTGAGAGGCAGTTTGTGGGAAAAATGACCTTAATGGAAGACTTCACAGGCTGTGAATTCTGAGAGACCTGAGGCCCAGCAGGGGTCTTTCTGTGAAGGCAGCTCCTCCAGCTTCAAAGCTGTGGCCTGGCTCCTAAAGAAACCTTTCTTTACTGGACACTGAAGGGTTTTCGTGCCATGCTTATTGCTCAAGGAAGCTTATGAAGAAGAAAAGGAGACCTTACTGCATACTTCCTTGGGCAGCATTTTAGAGCCTCATGTCAAGATGTTCACATAAAGTCCTTTCAAAATTCTAAGGTGGCAAGTACAATCATTAAACATTTAAAGCTTATTATAGTAGGTTACTTATTATAGTAAAATGTATGCTAGACTTGGGTTTCCTGTGTTCTGTGCTGCATGTACATTGAGGACCCTTGTAAAATGCACAGAACGTTTATGCACAAATTATGGTACAGACAGCATATATGTCTACAACATAAAGGACCTTTATAATTATTGCATGAATAAATGAAGTTCCTTGTTTCGGTTTTTGAAGAGATTTATTTTGAGGTATTCTTTTATGATATATTGTTTGTTGTAGCAACAATTTATTTGAAGATGAGTTCTGTCAGGAGCAAATCCCCATTAATAGACTTGGGGAAACAATCTGCTTTATAATGATCCCATTTACAATGCAAAACCAGAAACACACTGCAATGAAAAGTGGGCCCTACTTACGTATCTGTGTAGGTGGGTTATGAATAAAGGTATTAGTGCACACAAACAAAACTAAATACCTCCCTCATTAATACTAATGACCTCACTTGGCATTTGTCATAATTCAGATTCAGTTTCTGTGATTATCAGAGTATATGAAAGTGGATTAAAATATGTATGCACATGTATCTATCTATTCCCAAGCATGTGTGATTTGTCATAGTTAAGATAGAGTATATAATACTTATAGAATTAAAAGTTAGCCATTATTTCTAGCACTGCAAATAGCATAATACTTTTCAAAAAAATACTTTTTAATAAGTCTAAAATTAGTAGGTTCCTCGAAAAGTGCAAGAAATTAGGAAGTCCATCTAGGTTTTATTAATTTAGGGGGTCCATCAAGTTAAATTGTATTTACTAGTGGGATATATAGTTATCTTTATGGTGTTACTATGTATAGATTGAATACAAATTACCTATTTTCACCTACCTCAAACCGCTTAACATGAATTGCTTATGGCTGTTACTATGTATTTATTGTTACATGGCAGGCTCCCAGAGTGATGTGAGAGTTGCCAGGAGAGGAAAGCTCTCCTGTTTCATAAGAAGCCTAACAGTGTAGTACTAACTACAGCCTGGGGTTTGGGCTTCAGTTTCGCATGTTCATAAACAATATTTTAAACGTTACAGAGTTGATTGATGTTGGGAATGCGGATTCATGCTCGGGACGTTCACAAGAGACTGATGTATAAAACAGAATGCCATTTTATTAACTTACAAAGACAAACAATTGTTCACGAGGATGTAATTTGAAAATTGCAAATTCCTTCTGGGCAGATCTTTGTGGGGAGCTAAATTATAATCAGAATATTGTTGCTACCATAGAATCAAGGCAAGATGAGTTAGTCGTACAATTCAAACACATAATATCGTTTACTATGATTGCTCCAAGCACCCATCTCCCCAATATAGACTAGAGCATTTGCTCCTTGGAGAGACTGGTGTATTTGTTTTACAGATCAGTGCACACCCACCCCACAGCCTGGGTAGTGCCTGTTTAGGTTTTGTATTTTTCTATGCTTTCTTTGCTGATCAAACCCTTTATTCACTCTCCTATAAAAATAAGTAAAAACGTGTTTCTTTAGCTGTTATCTCTCCAATCAGAGTAGTCTAGTATTGATCACCTAGAGGCAATTCTATCATTCAAGGTAAGTACCTCTCTTCATTTATAGCTCAACTTATAGCTATGTGGTGAGGCAGGGGACCACAACCTAGTGAATAATTCTATGGGGGCACCTCACTGTGGCCAGCGAATACCGTTGACAGATTAAAATACAGGACGCCCAATTAAATTCAGGCAGCAAATTTTTTTTAAGTATAAGTGTGTCCCAAATATTGGTTGAGGTATAGTTATGCTAAAAAAAGAAGTATTCATTGTTTATCTGAAATCCTTATGTTCTGTGCAGGGTGTCCTGTATTTTCACTTGCTAAACTTGGCAAGCCCACGAGAACATTAACATGACGTCTGCCTAGGTTCACGCTGTAAGCACCAATCCATTCAGTTGTCTGAGGGAACAAAATCCATTCCCACTAAAACATTGTCTAAGTTAACAGTAGGGAGCAACGAAACACGAGAGAATCTTGACCCTTTGAGGAGCCCGTAGTGACGCAACAGCTTTAAACACTGCCTTGCTTGATTGCCCCGCCCCCTCCATTCTTCTCTTCCTGGTACTAGAATGATGGCTCTATCTCTTCCTTCTCAAGTCCCGCCCTTTTAGCTACCCGTTCTGGATAGGGATCGGTAACCCAAAAAGGGCCGGCAAAACCGCCGACGTGTTTAGAGGAGCGGAAGTAGTCAAATTTCACTGAGAACCGTAAAGTGCGGCCGGCTGTCTCCCTTTCCGGAGAACGACAACTGCTCCGACTGTCAGTGCCGGCCTTACTCGTGTAAGGGGATCTGCCGGCCCCTTTCTAATTCAGTTTTTCCCCATTTCAGGCCCTTCCCTATCGTCACCCCCTTCACCTTGGATCATGTTCAAGAAGTAAGGACATGCTGTGGCCTCCATCGGCTGCTCAACAAAAACGGTGGGGGTGGGGGTGGGGAAGAGGGCGAGAGCAAAGATCCTCTTTCTCTCTGCCCCGACCCTGCCATCCTTACTTCCCTAAGGTTTTCTATAGTACTACGCTCTCACTCGCAACTTGGCAATACTTTTTTAAGCTTTTCAACCCTAATCCTCAATCGGGTTTCGGTCTTCCCACTCTCATTTTCTTTCTCCTTACTACTCTTTCTCTTTTGCCCCCTCTCCCTATCCTATCTGCATTGCTAGGGTTTTACCAATCACATCCTTGCTCAGTGATTTGGGGGCATATCCTCTTTATCTGAGAGGCGAGTGCTGCACTCACTGCCATGTGGTTATTAGTTATGAACTGAATAAGGGAAGGCTTGACTTCCTGGGTCATGGGAGTGAAGGAGTCTGGGTGACAGGAAGCAAGCGGCCTGTCATACCTATTGCCTAGCTGCCAGATTAACCTTGTCTTGAAAATCGCGTGATTCCTCCATAGGCTATTCAGTGTAAGGAAGACAAAAATTCTTTGGGAACCTACCTAGTGGGTTTGCCTTCCAGATTTAGTAGACGCCAAAGACAAAGGGGGAACATGGGCAAAGGAAGGTGGGTTTTGTGCATGACATTTTGAGCAAAAATAAATAGGTATCTTAAATACCATCATCGTCATCACATAAAAAAAAATCTCAGTAGATTACATAGCCTAGAAGAGGCCGATTTTCTGTGTTCTATTTGGGTTGGTCTTTTGTATCTCAACGCTTTAGGGTATTTTTGTTTTGTTTTGTATTGCTTTTATTTTTTCACACAGGTTTTGTTATAGGTAGGAATGTGTTTCTTCCTGGGTAGAACTGAGTTAAGATTTTCCAGGAAAGGCATATGTGTAGCTGATTACAGATTATACTGTGAAATATGCCTCATATCCTCCCCTTGCTAATTCTGTATATATGACAGTTTATTTTAATATTGTATTAAGACATTGGTTTTGTGCTGGACAGAATAAAAGGGGAATAGTATTTTTAAACATATTTTCTAACTTAAAAATCTTTTTTTATTGTTGTTTGGGGGGGCAATTAGGTTTATTTATGTATTTATATAATGGAGGTACTGAGGATTGACCCCAGGACCTCGTGCATGCTAGGCATGCAGTCTGCCACTGAGCTATAACCCCCTCCTCCCCCGGGAGTAGTATTTTAAAAAACAATTTATTTCATAAAAATTTAACAAGACCTTTAGCTATTCTGTTACGTTTTCTTAGAAATACCCTTTTTTTTCCTTGCAAAAATCATTTGGCAGATTTGATGAAAAAGAAAATGTGTCCAACTGCATCCAATTGAAAACTTCAGTTATAAAGGGTATTAAGAACCAATTGATAGAGCAATTTCCAGATATTGAACCATGGCTTAATCAAATCATGCCTAAGAAAGATCCTGTCAAAATAGTGCGATGGTAAGTCTTTTTTTTTTTTCTGTGTAAAGCTCAGAGTAGCTGACTATGATTAGATTGCACTCATAATAAATGTAATTATTTTCACATTAACTTTATCTACTTTAAACGAGTAACTAAAGCTTATGAATATTTGTATTTTCAGATTTTTTTATGTTTGTGAACAATGTGGCTTTGTGTACTGATTGTTTTATTAAAGAGTTAATTCAATGTTTTCATTCAGAGTTGGATTTCTTTTGGTTTGTGCTTTAGAGATTTCTTTTATTAATTATCTAACAATAAAGTTAAAATAATGAAATGTGAAATAAAATTGTAGCAAGTCATATTTTTCTTTTTTTGTTTACTGGACTAGTAAGATAGATAAAACAGTTTAAACTGTTTTTTTTTAGCCTCTATCTATTGAAAAAAATTTTTAAAAAGCTACACTTTCTCTGTATATGCATGTTTCATATTATACATTACTTAAAGGATGTTTGGCATATTCATTTTTGAAAGAAAATATCTAATTTGGTACTTTGTGACATTTGTCTTACAGCCATGAACATATAGAAATCCTTACAGTAAATGGAGAGTTACTATTTTTTAGACAAAGAGAAGGGCCTTTTTATCCAACCCTAAGATTACTTCACAAATGTAAGTCTTGATAGAAAATATGTATTTGGGGATATAGAAAGGCACAAAAGGAGTTGAACATGACTTCTGGTAGTTAACTTATTTATGAGTACTAGGTTACATGGAATATAAAACTAAAATGAATCCCCCTCCCCATCTTGTGGCAAATCTGAAAAATACAGATTCTCTCATTATGCATTCCAGAAAGCTCAAGGAAGAGCATTCATTCATTCATTCATTCAACAAATATTTTTTGAACCTTGTGCCAGGCACTGAGCTAGGTCTTGAGAATGTGATAGGAAGCAAAGACAGACATGATCCCTGTCCTAAGAAGCTAATAGTCAAGTTGGAAGAATAGAGAACAATTAGATGATTACACAAATATAAATTCACAAACTGTGATAAGTGCTGTGAACATTTTCTTTTAAATTTGTTTCCAGATTTGCCTCACAGAGATAATTCTATCTAAGGGAAAGTATGGGCTAATTGTGGGAGTCCTAGTTATTGTTAGTTGAGTGCCATGTTCGGGTATTAAGAAACAAAATAATGTTTATTACATACCCACATTTGCATGTTGTTAGATTGATTACAAAAGAAAACCCAAAAGAAGATGCAATCCCGATGCATGAGAAATTTTCAACTGAAGTAAAATTTCTGCCTTTCAAGTCAGTATGTATCTGGCACGTGTGCTTATTTATGGTGAAGCATTATTTCTGAAATGTCAAATAGTAGAAGAAAAAAAGGCGTGTGCATAAATAGAAAGAGATAAAGCAAATACAGCAAAGTGTTAATGAACAATTGTTGAATCTAAGACGGTGTCCTGGTGTTTGTTGAACTATTCTTCCAGTTTTTCTATATGTTAAGCATTTTTACAATAAGTTGGAAGAAAAAGATGTTCCTATTTAATAATATTTTGCTGGGAACCAACCTTTTAGAACATCTTAAAGTTATTCTTGTGCAGGAAACAGGATAATATAGTGGTTAAAAATGTGAACTTGGAGTTAGGCAGATCTGGGCTCAATTCTCAGTACAAGTCACTTTTATCAAATCACTTAACCTGTTTAAGTCTTGTTTCCTTATCTTTAAAAATGGAGACAATTATATATTACTTCTCCCCTGGTTGTAAGACTTAAATGAGTTAGTAACACACGTATAATGCACCTAACAATGCCTGGAACATAGTAAGTGCTCAACATACCATAGCCATTATTACAATGTAGCTATTCAATAAATGACCACTACTACTACTTATCGTCATTGTCATGGTCAGGGTCATCGTCATCATTATCATCATCATTATTATTAAAGGGCAGATATTAAAGTGGATGGAGATCTAGAAAAAATTATGGCTTTTAAGCACATTCATTCATTCACATTTCTTTCTTCCAGTGAGATGTTTAGTTTCTAGTATTGATAGGAAAAAGACTTATTTGTTCTCTGACTAGTGGAAGGGCTAGTGATAAGACATTAAAGTGAATACATTTTACCAATTATTGTTATTCCTAGAGAGCCCTGAGAGGCCAAAAAGTTTTTCTCACAGTTATTGTTTTAAATCTTTCAGAGATTATTTAATTGTTAGGTTATAAATTATTAGTAAACACACAAATACATTTTTTAAGATTATGAAAGGAAAGGAATTCATGTTCATTCTAGAGATTTGGAAAATACAGAAATAAAATCACCTGTATTCCCATGACATAGAGATAACCATCCTTAGTATGTCAGTGTGCTTCCAGTTATTTCCTGTATTGTGTGTGTATGTCTGTGTGTGTGCAGATATGTAAATGTGTAATTTTTTCCTTTTTAAATTGGGCTCTTTGTTATATAGTTTTTTTTAATTAGTTGACTTTTTTAGAGTAGTTTTAGGTTTACAGAAAAAAAAATGAACAGAGGGTACAGAGTTCCCATATACTTCCTTCCTATGCCTCCCTTATTATTAACATCCTGCATTGGTGTGCTTCATTTTTTATAATTGATGAACCAATATTGATACATTATTATAATTAACCAAAGTCCATAGTTACATTAGGGTTCATTCTTTGTGTTGTACATTCTGTGGGTTTTGTCAATTGCGTAATGTCATGTATGCACTGTTATAGTATCTTACACAGTAGTTTCACTGCTCCAAAAATCCTCTGTGCTCTACCTATTTATCCCTCCCACCTCCCCCTCTCCTCCAGCCCTTAGCAACCACTGATCTTTTTGGCAGTTCTTTATTCTGCTTTTTTCACTTAAGATATATTATGAACACTTCTTGGGGTATTACATATTCTCCAAACATGGTTCTATTCTATAGATATTTTTAGATATACTGTAAGTCATTTAGCTCTTACTTTATTATTGGACCTTTAGGTTGATTCCACTTTATTTCTATTATAAATATTAGTGCTGTAATGATTATCTTTCTACCTAAATATATTGTACATCTCTCATTTTTTTCTTAGGATAAAGTCCTAAAAGTAGAATTACTGAGTCAAAGAGTTTGACCTTTTCAAGACTCTTGGTACATGTTGCCAAGTAGTCCTAAAGAAAGGTTGTACCCATTCATAAGCCTTCTAGTAGTATATGGGAAAGTCAATTTTCCTACACTCTTTGGTAGCATCAGAAATTACTTAAAAATATATATCAATTTGATAAGTGAAGGAGGGTGTTTCAGTTTCATTTCACATCCATCAGAGTACTGCAGTTTGGGGAAATATTTGTTAATGTCCTTTGCTTTTCCTGTTGAGTCATTAGTCTTATTAACTTATATAATGTATTTCTTTTCTTCTAGATCCTTTTATCCTGCCACACCAGCAGGTTGATAAGGGAGCCATCAAATTTGTACTCAGTGGAGCAAATATCATGTGTCCAGGCTTAACTTCTCCTGGAGCTAAACTTTACCCTGCTGCAGTAGATACGATTGTTGTATCCTTCCCAGGCTGTAACTGTTGAAAAAATGTGTTCATTGTATTCTTGTTATTACTGAAAGATCTACTATCTGAGAGAACATTAGATGTACTTTTTTGGAGATTACTGTTACTGTTGTCTCATGCTTTTTTGGTTACATTTGAAGATGTGGGAAGCAACATTATTTCTTGAGGCTAAATTATGTCCCATTTTAGAAGCTAAATGAGAACAAGTAATGAAAGGGTCCCAGCTACATTTCAGCTCAGTTAGGCCCAATGTTATTAGACGCAGTATCCAGTATAAAACTATTGATTATTAATGGAGAGGATATATATATGATGTGATTGGATCTCTTATTTGGACATCATATTGCTACTTTTACGTTTGACTTACCCTAGATACACTGGAGTAAAAGCACTCAAAAGGGAAAAGATCTTAGGCACCAGGTAGAATGTTAGAAGTGAGTAGTAGGAAATATTGGCAATCCCCAACTTTTATTTTAAAATAAAAGTTCATTTTTAAGTTGGCTGTTTGGGCCTCAGAATATGTTTTCTCAAGGAGAAATGTTAAAGCTGCAGACAGTCCTTAAGGATCTATTCAGCTCATGATGTAGCTGAATAATTCTGCATTATTTCTATTTCTGCAGTGCTGTTTCAGTTATATTCTAGATTAAATAGTTTTTTTCCCTCAGTTTATTTGTGAACATGAAACCCAGTGATGAATTATCATCTTGATGACCTAAAAGGAGAAAATGTTCTGCATAACAGTGAACCAAAATTGATGGGAACACAAAGGGCGGAGGTGGGGATACTATATCTGTGTTCAGGAAAACTGACAGTCTGACAATTTAAAAAAATCTTTCTTTCTTTCTTTCTTTCTTTCTTTCTTTCTTTCTTTCTTTCTTTCTTTCTTTCTTTCTTCCTTTCTTCCTTTCTTCCTTTCTTCCTTTCTTTCTCTTTCTTTCTTTTCTTTTTCTTTTCTTTTCTTTTTCTTGGCCAAGAGAGGGGCAAATAAAAACTCACATAAAATAAGAAGAAAATATAAAGATAGGGAATATTTATTTACCATAAAGAGTTGAAATCAGTACAGACTGTAGTCAAGACTACTTACTTCATACCCTCCTCCTGTCAGTAAGATGACATTTTAAAATCATTCCATAGTGAGCAACTTTGTTCTTTCTTCCCCAGCTACCCATCTTCTCCAACTTTGTGGGACCATTAACTTGGAGACAATGCTCAAGGGCTGCATCTGTTGTCAAATGCAAGTTCATATGCCTGATGCACAGTGAGGCCAAACAAACCAAAACATAGGAGTTTGGAGCAGAGAAAGGTTTACTGCAGAGCCAAGCAATGAGAATGGATAGCTTGATCTCAAAAAACTCAAACTGCTAGATTAAATAGTTTTTTGTTAACTAGTCTGGACAGGAAGGCATCTTCTTGTTTATCATAGATCTGGCCATTTGCTTCACATTGAGAAAAGGAACCATACTTGGTAGGAATAGGGAAATCACTGTGGAGTGGGAAGGCCAGTGGAGTGAGTTTAAGAGTGTGTCCTGTGCTCAAAAGGAGGGTGTCCTCTCTTGTGGCAGTTATATCTAAGGGGTAGTGTAAGTTGTATGTTTATATCTTAGGAACAGCTTGTATTGACATAGATACTGGTCATATAATAGGTGCTCAAATATTTGTGGAACACTGAATGAATGAATGAATTGAACACCAATGGAGAAAAGTAATCTGTGAGGACAGGTTACCTTTTGTGTTTATGATTTGTTTAAGTTTTTTAAGTTTATAGTTCTGGAGTTTCCCTTAAGTGGAAAATTTTCCTAGTATCTAGCGTTTACTTTTAAAATAATCTTTATTTTGAAATAATTATAGAATTTTTGAAAGTTGCAATACTCATACAGAGAGATACTGTATACCCTTGAAGCTTTACTTTTTAAAAAAAATGTACTGCAGTATTTAACATTCTAGACACTTCAAATGATAACCAAGAACATTCTGGTTATTCTTGATAGATTGAAACTTACACTGGGCTCTTAAAGATAGATTGGATATATAATTATTGTTTTAATGTGTCCTTTATATAAAGCCACCATTTAGTGATTAAAGCAATAGAACAACTGATATTTATTTCAGTTTTAATATTTATATGCAAGAAATTTTATCTCCTTTTTTGCATGTCATCTTCTTCTTCCTCTTCTCCTTTTGTTGGCATTGGGTTATATAGTATTAACATTTGACTTAAAGACCGAGAATGGTGATTAGATTCACTCATTTAGCATTTATTGAGTTTTTGCAGTGTGCCCATAGATTCTGCTAGGTCCCTGCCCTCAAGGAGTTAATGGTCTAGGCGAGGATGCAAATTGGTTTCAAAGTGGCTTAAGTAGTAACATGACACCCCCTCTCCAAAGTATTTCGATAGATAGTTTTCTTAGCTGTGTGTTTTCAGGCAATCATGGCAGAAGGAAAACAGCACGCTCTGTGTGTTGGAGTCATGAAGATGTCTGCAGAAGATATGTAAGTTTCTCACATTAGGCCCTCTTAGCTTTTGAGATATAGGTAACTTATGCAGGAAGCATCAGAATTACAGGTGAAATTGCTCTCATTCATACCACATCTTACAAATATTTAAGCATAGAAGCCTCATTTCTGATTTTTCCTAGCACTAAAGAAGCCATTGAAACCGATTTTATCTCTGGGATTGCATTCTTTCTTAAGCACTCTGAAAAGAACCCGTGTGCCAATACAGCTGTTTTATATATGTGTGTGTGGTATTTTAGGAACTTTTAAATTTAGTGTGATTTAAATTAGGTTTGGGGAAAGATGTTTTGCTGCTAGTTTTTAAAACAGTGACGTAATTCAGCACCACACTGTGTTCATCTTATTATTTTGACCTGGTGGTGTAAAATATTAAGGAAATATTAAAGATATGTTGCCAAAATATAGTCAATATACTTAAAAACATTGCAACTCATCTGATTAAATTATTCCTACTAATTTTATTTCAGAGCTAATTATAACACTTTGATATTCTCCTGGTATGGTGACATCATTAATCTGTTTCTGTAGACCCACTAGTTAGATCACTAGAATCACTTTAAGACATTAACTGCAGCAGAGTAATGTAGTTTAATATAGATGATAATAGTGTAATATAAATAAATTTCCTACATGTGGCTCAATAATTGGAAAATAGCAGTGCACCCTGAATTATATTTACCATGAGTAGGCCTATAAAAATACGTAACAATATGTTTATGTGCTTTATTCCTTCTGCAGTGAGAAAGTCAACAAAGGAATTGGCATTGAAAATATCCATTATTTAAATGATGGGCTGTGGCATATGAAGACATATAAATGAGCCTCAGAAGGAATGTGCTTGGGCTAAATATGGATATTGTGCTGTATCTGTGTTTGTGTCTGTGTCACAGCATGAAGATAATACCTCTGTGGTTATGCTGAATAAATTAAACAGATGCTAAACTTCTGTTAGCTTCAAAGACTATTTTAGTTTTTCTTAAACTCCAGCTAAATTTAAACTTAGACATTAAAAGGTATCTGGTAAGTAACCAAACTCAGACAATTTAATGTTCTTTCTTAGGCTAATGATGTAAGATGAAGGGCAAGACTCAGTAAGTGAACTTGCCAGTGTGTGGCTGATCCCACAGAGAATCTGACTACTTAATGGGGCTGGAAGCTAGATTGGGATTTTTATCCCATTACCCCAGGGCACCTAGAAGTGTCCCTTCTCTTTTGTGTGTTTTTTTGTTTGTGTTGTTGTTTAACTTTCCATTATGGAAAATTCTGAACATATACAGAAGTATGGGGAGAACAGTATAATGGACCTTTTCTGTATCCATCACCCAGCTTTAATTCATGGCCAGTATTATTTCATCTATGTCTCACTCAACTTCTTCCCACCCTACTCCCTGATTATTTTGAAGCAAATCCCAGGTATATCGTTTCACCCATAATTACCTTGATATGTATCTTTAAAAGATAAGTGTTTTTTAAAAAAGCATAACCACAATATCATTATCACGCCTAAAAAATTTAACTGTTTCTTAATATGGTCAAATATCTGGACTGTGTTCAAATGTGTGACAAATGGACTTAACTGTTTTTCTTTTTAATTTTTTTTAACTGTTGGTTTGCTTGAAATTGGTATCTGACAAAGTCCATATATTGCATTTGGTTGTTACTTATTTAAGTCTCTTTTAATCTATCAGTTCTACCTTCTTTAAATTAATTATTTAAGAAATTCTAGTTGTTTTGTCTTACAGAGTTTCCTCCCACATTCTGGATTTTGTTGATTGTATCACCATAAAGTAATTTAACTTGTTTTTATGCCCCTGGATAGCCTGTAAACAGATAGGCTTGATCAGATTCAGGTTCAATTTATTTAATGCCCTCTCTTGAAGCTGGGTAAAATCAGACTACACAGATGCCTATAACTTCCAGATTTGAGTCCCCACAGTATTCCCCAAAGAATGTGTAGCGCCTATCATAAGTGGCATATGAAGGCCCTGGACCTACTTCAGTAAGAATAGTCAGCTGTTCTGAGAGTTAAATGAATGGTTATGAATTTATATAAGTGAAAACAGGCTTTTCTTCCTAATAACATTGCTGTTACACTATGTCTCAGCCATCTTCATTTGGTTGTTTACAAATACATGACATGTGATTTTATTTTTCAGATGGATACAGACATTCACAAGATTGTGGTGACCTGTGTTACAGTTAGAAGTTGGTGAGAAAGGTGAGGGTGGATAGTAAAAAGAGAAAAATCATTTGGCTGGCTGTTGCAGCTGGGCCTCCCAAGATACAATATAGGTGAAGAGTAGAGATCCAGGGTCTGACTCAGATTGAAAAACTATTTCCCACTAACAAAACCTGTAAGACTTGGAGATTCCCACGTTAGAATGTAAATGTATTAATTTATGGTGATACATCTGCTTAGGGGAAACAATCAGTAAACAGGAAGTTTCTTGGTGAACATGGATACGAGTGAAGGAAGTTTGGTAATTTGGGGGAATATTTAATCTGGGCTGGGGTAAGGCTTGGAGAATTTTTCCTGCTTCATCATTAATTAGAATGCTTATGTCTGTCAAAATCTTTCTTTCCTAGCCCAGAGAGGTGCCCTGATATTTTACTTCCTATGCCCTTTTTAAGTTCTATGTAGAATATTTTCCTTTGTTATGACGGTTATATTCTATGACTTACCATATTATTATATTGTATTATTTATTCCTGGTAGATAAAAGTATAAATAATCTCACCAGTAACACAATTATAAATTATCTTTGAGGGTAGGTTTCTTCAATAGATAGTCTCTTTTATGCTGACTTACTAGTTTCAAATTTAGATGTCTCCCCATTTAGGGGAGAGGCACCCTATTCAAGGCTTTATAATTTTAAAAAGAGAACATTTAAGTCATTTATGTCAAAACGAAACTTTGAACCTTTAATTTTGGTATTAAGACAATGTTAGTGACCAAGATTGGCTATGGAGTGTTAGCAATGAAAAACAAAGCACACACAACATACTAGAGAAGTTTTAATTGCCTGATTTCTGAAATAATTTATCCACGTTTCTAACGACTGTTACGGGGGGTGTAGGGAACACTTTAAAAATATTCAGCATCATCTGTGCTTGTTTCTCTACTGTGTCCAGGTATATTGACTTTGTTGCCTTGGTGATGTGGACTAAATACGTATGTTTCCTGCTTCCCCTGGGTCTGAGGCCTCAGGTCATGGAGTTAATCAGGGATGTCAGTCTGCACGTGGGAGCCTGTTCAGGTTCTAAATGTTATTAGGTCACGCAGGGAAGCCAATTCAGAGGTTAAACTAGCAGATATCTCAGTCTCTTTATGCACTATGCTTAAAGGAAACTTAGTTTACCCACATTCCTTAGAATAGGAATACAAGGAGAGCCTGTTTTCTTGCAGGCAGTGTGTCTTCAGTTGTTTTCAATTTCAGAATTAATTTTGTGTCAAGCCAACTGACAATCTAGCCATTTTTGTGTATCTGATACACTTTTACTCAGCCAAGGTTAGTTCAGCTCAGTGGACTTTTATTAAACATCTACTAGGTTTTAGGTATGTGGCACAAAGATGAATAATACACTAATGACCTTTGCCATTAAGGAGCTTCCAGTCTAGTGAGTAAATTTACATTTGAAAAAATTTGGGTAATGGTGATAGCCCAATACCAATTTATAAAGCCAGGAGGAAGTTACTAATACTTTTCTAATTTCAGTCATCAAAATTTGTAAATTATACATGAACAAAATATAAAAATATTCCATAGATTGTATCCAATGTGAGGTTAAAAAAATCCAGATGTCTTAGAGTTGCAATTCAGCATTCCAGCTCAGATGGTTGTCCCATTGTGCAGTAATATAAAGGCCAGATCAGCCCTCTTCTAGCTGACTATTATAGTGGTTGGTGGTATTCTGTTGGCAGCTGCATTTTTCCTTTTTTTTTAAAAAAATATATTCTGGACCCAAAACAAGCAGCTGGATTTATCACAGGGGTAGCCATGAACATTTCTAGTTTCTGTTAGTCTCCAAGCAGAAAGTCAAATGACATGTCAATGATTATATCCAGCCAAGCTCCCCCTGCAAGTAAAATCAGCTACTTGAGGTTACAGTATTTCTAAGCATAGTACTTCAGAAGATAAAAGAATGGCAAATGACCAAATTTGTAGAGGTATTTCATTATAATAAATACTTCACTTTTTTGTTGTTCATGAGAATATTAAAAAAGTAGCAATTATCTATTAATGGGAATATGAAATGAATGTATGCCCAAACAAAATGTGGTAAATATTTTAACTTTGTTTACCTAGGTTTCTTAATTTTGAGAATATATCTCTCAAGGCTCTTCAGGAAACTCAAAATGTTCCAATTTCTAAAGGAATATCTACTAAAACTGATTTATAATGAGAGGAAAAAATGTGTGCATCCTATGTCAATAGCCATCATTTCTGAGTTCTCAAGCAATCAGAAACTTACTCAGATTATTCAATCTGTCAGAATTAGGCCATTAAAATATATTTTGAAAGCCCTTCAGAACACTTATATTTAGTATGTTATTCATTGTATTAAGGCAGTAAAAATTAGATTAAATAATATTCTTAATATACTAGTCGCTCAGCCATAGTTCCTAAAGAAATCATGCCTGTCAACATGGAGACTGATGCATGTAAATGTATACTGTGTATTATATGTTTTTACATGTTGTATGTATACTTTATACTTTTTTAATAGGTGAAAGAATGAGTAGATATAATGAACTATAACATTAATGTGTTTAATACTGTATTAAAACTAATTAAGTACTTGTAAAGGACTACAACTCCATCAGAATAGGAGTGAATGAACGGGATTGAAAACCAGTTTTAAAATCTATGCTGAGACTGTTAGACTGGTTGGTTGGTTGGTTGGTTGTTTGGTTGGTTTAGGAGGCTGGCCTCTTGGAGAATGTAATGTATATATGGAAAGAGATATGGGAGATGATTTACTGGAATTTATCCTAATAATATCATGTTCATTAGAACAGGTCACAGGGAGGAAAAATACATTTTAAAAAAATCTAAGCTAATTAGTACTATTAATATTTGCCTCTTGGAGTGAAAAATTAAACACCAGATTTTATCCCTGAACAATTTGAGAAACAAGAGATCAATTAGTGAAATAATTTCTACTCAAAGCTCTGGTTGTTACAGAGAATGATATGCCTTACTATTGTCTAATTCTAGTTAAATGGATTATCTTCTACATTAAAAATTTTTAATCTCATTTTAAAAGTAAAACAAATCATGATTTCCACATCATAGTTTTTATTGCTCTTCTTGTTCCATTCCCCAATTTTAAAATACTTTAATTTTAGCCAATATGTGAATATAGGGCACTTCTAAGGCATAATCATTTACTTCACTCCCTTCAAGTTCATTGTAAATGTTCTCAAAACTTTACCATGGGAGGGAAACCCTAAGTTTAAAATGTACAAAGATTTACTTTTAGTGTTTTATCACAAGACTTGATTGTCCATGATAACTGTTAACTTTCTTTTAATCTATGGTGAAATAAGTAATTTCTTCTGATTTTCACAAGCATGTGAGCAAAAGTCTGTGTTTTAAGCAATAAATCATTTAAACACTTGCCTAGAGAAAGTGCCATTTCTCCAAACATATGCCTTGAAAACAAATCAAATTCAGTTACCTTTTTGTCTCAAGGAAAGCCATACTGGGGAGACTTTCAAGGTTGGGCAATCCATTTTTATTCTTACCAACTTCTGTTTCCAATGGGGACACTTTCTGTCTTTGTCCCCAAATGCTAGGATTGTCCTATACTGATGCATGATGAAGCCCTGAGGCTTGGAAACTTGCAAACCAATAAGATGATTTTGTGATGAAACTGCATGTTAGATTGATACTATTAATAGCCCTTGAATGAGCTTAAATTTGAGACAACTTTTAAAAGCAG